GCTGCCTGGAGTGAGTGCTTTGCCCTCGTTACACAACAAGCTCCAATGGGAAATCCAGATCTCCCTGGGCTCCTGGAAATCATCACGAACTGGCCTGAAGGTGACACATTTGGACTGTCCTTGGAAGAGGAAGAAGAGCCGCTGAGATGTGCTGAGGAGGAATCCCACTTTTGGCATCAGGCACCTGACTGTGAAGAAGGGTCTGTCAGCTGCTGGCTCTTTGTCTCTGTCCCGTTTGGAGGAGGACGGTCGGAGCTGCTGCTTGGGGAAGGGAACTCGCTGCCTTGGCCATAACCCAGCCCAGAGCTGCTTCTCGTGCTGCGGGGCGAGCCTGTGCTGGTGAGAGCAGCCCCTGCACGGGGCCCTCACTGTGACCCGTCAGTGGCAGCGGGCCCTGTCCCCCCCGCTCGGGTGCCCGGGATCCTGAGCTCGCCTCTCCCTGCCCTGCTCAGGCCCGGCTGCCGCTGCCCCGGCCCCGCTGCCGCCAGCGCCCCTGCCGGCCGTGCCCGGAACTGCACCGCGGGGAAAGCGCCTGCGGCCGGGAGAGGCCGGGCTGCGCCGGGGCTGCACTCGGTCAGACTTTGTCATGCTGATAAACGATTGTTATTCATATTCTCATATCTTTGCCGAAGAACCCCTTAATTTCAAAATTGTAATAATTCGGAGGGAGGGATTTTACATGTTCCGTTGCAAGGGATGCTCCTGACTTCCTTAGCATATGCCTGTCTTTCCAAACAAAACACCCCCATCCCTCTGTGCCACTGTGTGGGGAGGAGGGAGGGAGGGAATTGGGATAAAGTGAAGGCCAGAAAAGAGAAAGCACTTTGGAGTAGGTGCATTTTTAGGATTTGGTGCACTCCGGGAGAGGCCGGGCTGCGCCGGGGCTGCACTCGGTCAGACTTTGTCATGCTGATAAACGATTGTTATTCATATTCTCATATCTTTGCCGAAGAACCCCTTAATTTCAAAATTGTAATAATTCGTAGGGAGGGATTTTACATGTTCCGTTGCAAGGGAGGCTCCTGCCTTCCTTAGCAGATCCCTGGCTTTCACACCAAGATACCCCCATCCCTCTGTGCCACTGTGTGGGGAGGAGGGACGAAGGAATTGGGAAGAGATTGAAACCCAGGAAAGAGAAAGCACTGTGGGGTCGGCTCCGGGAGTTCAGAGGGGGCAAAATGGGAGCGAGGGAGAGGAGGCAGCTGGTGCCAATGGGTGAAATGGCTTTGCTTTGGCATATGTTATTATGTCATAAAATATGTTATATAGGCATACTGTATGTTCTATAACATGACTTAGTCAGAAGGTTCCTTGGGAAGCAGCCCTTAAAACAAAGGAGTTCAGGAAAGGTGGGCATGCTTCAAAACAGAGACCTTGAGGGCACAGGAGCAGACTGTCCCTGTGTGCCCAAAGAGGAGTCAGCGAGGCAAACATCCAGCCTGGATGGGCAATGAGGGTTTGAAGGAACTTAGGAATAAAAGGAGGACGTATCAGCTTTGGAAGGAGGGTCAGGTTTCTCAGGAAGTATTTAAGGAGCTGCTAGGGTATGCAGGAAATAATCAGGGAGGCCAAAATTATGTCTGAAGTTAAATTGGCAACTTTTGTAAAGGAGAATAAAGAACATTTGTACAAATGTACTAATGGTAAAGGGAAGGGTAAGGCCAACCTCTGTTGTTTATTAGATGTGGGAGGGAACTCAGTAAGTGCAGATGAGGAGAAGGCAGAGGTGCTCAGCGCCTTCTTTGCCTCGGCCTTCAGTGGGAACACAGCTTGTCCTCAGGACAAGTGTCCTCCTGGGCTGGTGGATGGTGTCAGGGAGCAGAATGGGCCCCTGCTATCCAGGAGGAGGCAGCCAGGGAACTGCTGAGCTGCTTGGATGTTCATAAATCCGTGGGCCCAGATGGGATTCATTCCCCAGGGGGGTGAGGGAGCTGGCAGAGGAGCTTGGGAAGCCGCTCTCCATCATTTCCCAACAGCCCTGGCTCACTGGGGAGGTTCCAGATGGCTGGAAGCTGGCCAGTGTGACACCCATTCACAGCAAGGGTGGGAAGGAGGGTCCTGGTGATTACAGGCCAGTCAGCCTGACTGCTGTGGTTCATGTTTATTCCATTAAGTTATTGTTAAATGGCTCGTTCATCCTGTTATCCCCACACGTTTCCAAAGTTGATTTTTCCCTAAGTTGTACCCTCCATTAAAGCTGTCCCTCAAGCTACTCCCCTCGCTCTGTTCCAGTCCCTTTCCTGCCTGTCAAGGCAACCCTGCCCCTTTTTCCTGAATGTTCCCTGCCACTCACCCCTGGGCCAATCCCACTTGGAACACCCACCTGGAACTCCCCTGATCCACGATGCCCCATTGGCCCATGTGACCTTTCCCTCTCCTCTCCCTATCCCGATTGGCCCCACAGTGTTGCTGTGATCCCCTCACTGCTCCCCTGCGCATTCCCTGGTTTCAGTGTTTGTATCCACCCCCTGACTTGTATCTGAACAAAACCCCTTGCAATCGAGGGCCAGGGACTCCTTTTGTCCTGCTCCCTCCACCTGGGATAAACTTTCCCCGTGGACCCTCCAGACAAAGAGCCTCCTCCTTCCTCCTTGGCCTGGTCCCTGCCGTGGCTGTGACAGCGTGCCCTGTAGAGCTGGCAGCTCTTTGGGGTCAGCTGTGGGCACAGCCCAGGCCCCAGCTGCTCCCACCCCTGTCGTGGCTGCCGGAGTGCACAGAGCCAGCCAGGTTCCAGCAGCTTCGGCAGCAGAGACCACGATCCCACCAGTAAAAATCCCTGTTTGAACTGCAACAAGTTTCATCAAATACACCCAGTTTCCTTAACAACAACAACACCACGTTTCTCTTCAACTGGAGAAGTGCTTCAGGAGAACCAGCATAACCTAACTGCTCCGGAGCATCCCAGGGATTAAAGAGCATTATTTCAGGTGCTACAGGCGACCTCTGCTGGTTCCTGATGCTGGGAAAAGCCCTGAGTGCAATGTTCTCAACTCCCTCACTCTGTTCCCCCAAACAAAAGGAAATATCAGCCTGACACTCCAGGTGCACACTTGCAATCAATTTTGGTGTTGTGTTCCATTCTGTTTAAGAATCTTGGAGTAGGGGGAAAGAATTAAACAATTTTTTTTCTAATGACCAAATTAATGGTCTCCATTTTAATCCATTGCCATTGGCAACCATCCATATCCAGGAGAAGGTGTCTGCTCATTATTTCACCTGTGCTAAAGCCTGTGTCCTTCCAGAGAGAGCAACACTCCAGCCCTGAGCATTCCCTACTCTTGAGGGCAGCAAATCCTCTGGCCTAAAGACTCCACAGTATGGAAAAAAAATATATCATCCAAGTGGTTCTAGTACAGCTAGAAGGTCTGTTGGATACAGGAGTGCTCGGTGCAAGAGAAAACTCCAGCTGCTACAGAAAAGGCCACTGTGGCCACCTTGCCAACTGTACACAAGTTTTACTCACCCTGTTTTCACTGTTCTCAGGATTCAGCCACTTTGGGAGAAAATCAGCTGCTTCTGTCAAGAGAAACTCTCCATCGTTGTCCTCAATCCTGGCCAAGGAGAAATTGGTTTCTTAGCAGGAAAAGCCTTGCAGAGCACAACAACACACTTTTGAATCCATGTCTGCTGGGGTTTTTTTTAATATTCATAAACCCATAGAAGGGCTTAGGTTAGGGACCTTAAAGATCAACACCTGGTTCCAAGCCCCCTGCCCCAGGCAGGCAGACCCTGCACTCACCCAGGCTGCTCCAAGCCCCATCCAACCTGCCCTTGGACACTTCCAACGTGTATGGGATGGGGAAACACCTCCAAGGATGGGAATGTTAAGACAGGACCTCCAGAGCACAGGCACTGCCCCTTGGCAGCCCTCCCACACAAGCAGCTCAGCCTCACCTGGCTGCCAGCCCCGGGAACTCCCTGCTGATCTCCCGGAGCAGGGACACAATGAACCACTCATCCTCCACGTTATCCCCGAACGCGGCGGTGCCGCCCAAGTGCGCCGGGGTCTCGCCTGGACGGGGCACAGAGAGGAGAGGCGGCTCAGCAACGCCATGGCCAGGAGCAGATTGTCCCCACGGGCTGCGGAGTCTCCCTCGCTGGGGATATTGCAGACCCTGCTGACAGAATCTTGTGTCCTGTGCTCGGGGATGGCCCTGCTGCAGCGGGGAGGTGGCACCAGAGGCCTCACTGGGCTAACCCGTGCTGTGACACCGACAGGCTGGGAAGCCGCCGGGTGCCCCTCACACGGCCTCGGTTCCCGGCCCTCAGGTCCCCCCTCACACGCCCTCGGCTCTCCCTCAGACGCTCCCGGTTCCCGGCTGCCGGGTCCGCCTCACAAGCCCTCAGTTCCCGGTCGCCGGTCCACCCTGACAGGCCCTCGGTTCCCCCTCACGCCTTCCAGGTTCCCCCTCTCACGCTCCCGATTCCGGGCCGCCGGTTCTCCCTCACACTCTCGCGGTTCTCCCTCACACTCTCCCGATTCCCCCTCACAC